GCTGGCAGAAAAATAGGAATTAAGTAAGTTGTACAAGGTGTGGAAATTGTTAGGCTAGTGAACAGAGCTCAGTTTTGTAGACGCATGGTCTGTGTCTTGCACATACTTGCTCTTGGGCCCTTTGATTGCGCTGAGAGAAAGTTCAAAAGGAAACAAACTGAGAGGTATACAAACAGCATACATTTTTCATGAGTATTTTTATTCCACTCCGGCGGCTACCAACCAGCACTGGAAAAAAAGTAACAGCACAATGCAGCAATTGTTGCCACATTCTGGTTTTGGCAGTTTTTCCTACTTCTTTTTACTTCTTTTATCTAAAAGTTTAATACTTCTTTCAGATTTTTTTCATTGTTTTGTGTTCTCTTTCTGCTGCTGTTACTGATGGTTGGGGTTACTGATGTCTTGGGGTTTTGGTTTGTTTTGGTTTTATTTCCTATTAGAAAAACTGAAATCAATTTGAGACAGGCTACTATATGAAATACTCAAGTCATTAATATAAAAGATAACAGCAGCTCTCTGGACTCTCTCCAACAGGCCCATGTCTTTCCTGTACTGGGGACTCCAGAGCTAGACGAAGGACTGCAGGGGGGGTTTCCCCAGAGCAGAGCAGAGGTATGCCTGTTAAAAAGTCTTTATGTATATAGTTCAGTACATTTTGGATCCCAGCCCATTTGACTTAGTATGTGTTATTCATGCTACATCATTGTATGCACACAATGTCCTGCACACTAGAGATGTATGTGTGCTATACATTTGATTTCTGGGGGTCATAATATTTCTTCCACTTTTTTGGTTTTTGATGTCTTTGGGGATCAGGTAACAATCTGATCATCATGGGTGTCTTTCCAGGAATTAGATTGTTTATTGAATTTCATTTTGCTTTGTAAACCCTTGTTTTTCCTGCAGTGGGAAATAAATGGTTTTCAGAGACCAATGCTTTTGTAGCTGCGATAGCTCCTGGACATGTCTAGAGATACTAAGGGAGAGAAGATGCCCCAGGGTTGTGCTTAAAGACTTACACAAGCCAGAAGAGTGATGTGCTCTATCTCAGTAAAGGCTTGATGGATAAGGACAGTGTTTTGAACACCAGTAAAGTAAATATGGCAAAACCTGTGACACTGAAGTAATGAACATGAGTGCTTTAGCTCATAGGCAAAATTAGGTCCTTCCCAATAATCTTGTTACCCACAGAATAATACAGCTCCCTGTTATATTTTAGCAACAATCAGTTTCTCTTATTAAAGACCATGGAATCCTTTTCTAACTGCACAGGTCCCAGGAGAAAAATGTTCCCCAGCTAGCAGTGGTTTATTGGAACTGGAGTGTGCATATGACTGGCTGGTGCTGTGAAAATAACTTCTGATGCCAGCTAGGTAAAAGCAGTAGGTATGGCTGTGGACTACTGTACCCTAAAAAAGATTCATTTGGCTGTGGACATGGGCCTACAATAGTGAAATTAAACTTATTTGTGGTGTCAGGAAGTGCAAATTTGAGATACTTCTGTAAGAAATTTACAAGTTTACTCTGAAGAAACGTTATTAAATATCTTTCAGCTGCTGGTGCATAGCCTGGTGATGATCTTTCTGCTACCAGTTCAAAGCCACTTTTTAAAATGTAAGCTAACTGGGTCAGAAACAAATCAACCTAAAGCACAGAACTCCACCTTAATATGCAACAGAGAAAGCAACAAATAAAATTGCAACCAGATAGAGGGAGAATTGGTTTTGCCATCTGGTATACCCCTTGTCTGCCCTTCTCAATGCTTCTTCTCACATGTGTTACAGGGGTTCACGCAGAGGTTCAAGTGTATTGGCCTCTTCCCAGGCCAAGGCTGAAACATCCAGTTCACAGGATTCCCAGACCCTGTGGAGCTGTTCACAGCAAGGAGCGGAAGCAGGAGGCATTTGCACTTACACAGCCCTTGCATGAACAACCATGTATTTGGCACTTGGTGAGAGCAGCTGCTGATATACTTGGTCACTGCACAGTTCTCCTTCAGGCCTCTCCTCACAAACTAAAGGCATTTTTGCATTCTATTGCTCTCTAGTGTTCCTAATACAATTGTGTCTGCCAAGGAGCGGACCAAAGAAAAGGCAAGGCTAACTTCTGGTCCTGAAATGGCCTCTCCAGCTGCTGTTTCCAGAGGTGGGCTAGTCAGCTTTGTAGGCCCTGGGCCTCACCAACCAGGCTGTCACTTCAGTTTTCACTTTCTGTTGCCAGTTCCCTTTCATAGCTGCCAAATCCACCTCTTCTGTTCCTCACTCAGTGTTGTTTCTCAAACACAGCATCTAACATTTGCTCTCATTTCCTGAATGCTGGACTGTTTACTTGTTCATCATTCCAAATGGCATAGCCACCTATTCATACTTGGAAGTTCCTGCCACAGAAATGTGAGAAAGAGTATTTGTCCAGCTTGATGTAAAGCACTGGAAAAAAGCCCCCTAGTTTATTGTCTTCATCAACATAAGATCACGTCCTCTAACTTAACATTTTTAGTATACCTCTTTATCCCATTTGTGAGAAATCTAGCAAGTAAAGAGCCTCAGCATGGTGAGACAGTTACAATCCTTCCTAAAATTACATTTCATCATACAGCATGTACTGCAAATTGAGAATAAGGTTGATTCCTAACACTTCATCTTCTGTTGTCATGAGTCTTGTTTTCCAGACTTACTACCAACATTAAGAATGTACTGAGTGCTTCAGAATGCAAGACAAGAACAGCATGTCAGCTGTTTTCATGAGGGTATGCAAATGAAATTTGTAGAAGCCCAGTGGAAGAACATTGCATCAAATAATAGAGACTTCAGGAGTAAATCTGCCTAGTTTGTTTCCTTATCAATTTGGACTAGCAAAGAACATACTTGTTGCCTGAACATTATACATGTCACCTGCCAGACTGGAAGAAAATCAGAAGCTGTCCTGGTAAAATGAAGTGAGCAGTGAGGAACTGACCATTCAATTGACAGTGAACTAGTAATGTAATATTTTTCTTTACACTAAAGAAGGACCTGCCATTTAAAATTGACAGGTTAGCACATGCTAAAATATTGTCCTTATACTAGACTGCCCAAAATTCTGTTAACTAGCATAAGTTAATATATGACACTCAGTTTTTGTTCATCCTTATTTGGTCCAGGCCACAGGCTTTTTTTGATATAGTCCAGAAATTACCCAGATCTTCAAAATTAAAATCAGCTGCTAAGTTACTGATATATTATCCAATTGTAATTCTTTTCCCCCAGAAAAAAAAACATACATTTATTCAGATGGAGTTAAACTTGCAGCATGGCTGTATAAAATCATTGCTTGTATCAAGTAAGATGATCCTTTGAACAGGAGGAATACTCTCCTGACCCTTTACCCACTGATAATTGCCACTACAGAGGTGAGTGCAAAAAAGGATTTGAAGGGGTCCAGTCCTCCAAACCACTGTAAGCAGAATTTCAAAATAAGCTATTTTGCAGTGTCATTACTCCTTTCCCTCCTACTACTCACTTGTCATCTTTTACTTCTCTGTGATTCCAAAACGCACTGACCCAGTTGACTAAATTTACCCTGGCATAAGAGGCTGTAGCTCCACTTCATTCATGGACATTTACCTACAACACAGTTACACTGCACTGGAATATTTCACACAGGCTAGGTGTAGAGGTTTCCCAGACCACTGCCAGTCCTGAGCTTCAGCCATTCTACTTCAGTCATGCAGCATTTGTGCAAGGTAAATAATACAAGAGTCAAACTCAGGAAGACAAGAAGATGAAGAGCAGACTGTTAATGAAACTGGAATGGTTTATTTAATATGACTATGACCTAGCATGCTTTAGCTTCATCAGCTCATCAGTGTCAATTCCCCTAATCTGTATGCAGCACTGACACTGATGGAGCTTCTTAACATAACAGTGAAATCATACAATCACAGAATGATTTGGGTTGGAAGAGACCTTAAAGCCCATACAGTTCCAGTCCCCTGCCACGGGCAGGAACACCTTCCACTAGACCACATTGCTCCAAGCCCTATCTAAATTGTCCTTGCGCACTGTCAGGGATGGGGCAGCCACAACTTCTCTGGTCAACCTGTGCCAAGGCCTCACCATCTTCACAGGGAAGAACTTCTGCGTAAGGCCTCATCTCAGTCTCCCCTCTGTAAGGTTAAAGCCATTCCCTCTTGTCCTGTCCCTACAGGCCCTTGTCCAAAACCCCTCTCCAGCTTTCTTGTAGCCCCTTCAGGCACTGGCAGCTGCTCTAAGGTCTCCCCTTGAGGAGCCTTCTCTTCCCCAGGCTGAAGCAGCCCAGCTCTCTCAGCCTGTCTCCAGAGCAGAGCTGCTCCAGCCCTAGCAGCATCTCCGTGGCCTCCTCTGGAATCTCTTTAACAGCTCCATGTCCCTCTTGTTTTATTGCCTCAGAGCTGGACACAGGACTGCAGGGAGGTCTCCCCAGAGTGCAGCAGAGTGGGAGAATCCCCTCCTTCGGCCTGCTGCTCACGCCCTGGGGATGCAGCCCAGCACATGGCAGGGTTCTAAGCTCAAGCACTCACTGCCAGGTCATCCCCCAGTTCCCTCAGGACCCAGATATGCATCTCGTCAGGTCTCATGGACTTGTGCACCTTCAGATTCCTCAGATGATCTTGAACCTGATCTTCTACAGCAGCGGTTCTGCATTCTCCAAGTCACTGCCTTTGCCTTCTGTGACTTGGGCAGTGTGGCTGGAGCTCCTGCTGGCAAAGACCAATTTAAAAAAGTCATTGAATGCCTTGGCCTTCTCTGTGTCCCAGGTAACCAGGTCTCCTGTTTCCTTCTGGAGAGGGCCCACATTTCCATGGTCCAAATTTGCATCTAGCGTAACTCTGCTGATGTTGATGAAGGCATGTCAGAACTAATTTAGTCTGGCAACTACTCTCCATAATGTGGAGTAATGGTGGGGCTGCAACACCTGGCAGTAGACAAACCTGGATAAAACAGCTACTGAGGCACACAGCTTGGAAATAACTGAGATCCAGCATAGCCAGCGCAGGCCCAGAATGGGAGATGAACTGAGCTTCTCAGGTATCTATGTACAGTCCTCCAAGATGCTGCAGGCCAAGTGCACATTCCAGAGCTGGTACGTCCTCCCTGAGCACAGAGCAGCACAGTGGAAAAGTGGAAGAATCAGGTCCCCTCCTACCAGTTTTACTGCTCCATTTCAGCACCAGCCAGACAGGTCCATGCAGAGTCAGAAAAGCAACTCACCCCCATGGTCCTTGTAGCTGCAGGACAATGCTGAGACATTGTGGCTGGATCTGCACAGAGCTGGCATGAATTCATAGTTGGTTTATTGCTGATATATCGCTAAAATACAGCTTATAAGCATTTAGATTACATATAGCTCTATACCAAAATGGGCCACATCTGGCACATATTGTCCACAAGTAATGGAGAGTTAACTGAATACGATTCAAACTAAATCATTTTTAAGAGATTTCTTTTTGTAGAAATTTTCACTAAACCAGCCAAATTCAAGAAGCAAAGGCAAAATAAGATGTAAATTTAAATTGTGGATCCCTGATGTACAATATATACATCTTATTATGTGATTTGTAATTCAGAGGTAGAAGTTTCCTACATAACAATACTGGAACATGCCCCCAAGCACCAATTCAAATGAGACCCACCCAGCACAAGAGGAGTGCTGTGTTTTCCCAGCCCTGTTCCTTTTGCCTTCCATCCCAAAGGCGTACACAAACCCATGTCACTTTCTGTTTAATCCCTTCTATACCAACAGTCTGTAACTTTTCCTGTCCCCTCACTCTCTCACAGTCAAATGGCATGGCTTTAAGGATGGATGTATTTTGTTTATGTAAAGAACAATTTCATGTACATTTTCAAGTGTAAATTAGCACTTACAAGTGTTGTCTCATTTAAAAGCTGTGGTTATCACCTTGGGAGAAGACAACTCTTTGCAGGCATCCAGAAGTTGAGAAACAGCTGCTGTGTCCTTTTCTTATCAACTGGAGGATTACTGGTGGTTAATTATGAGGGTGGTGTCATCGATTTCCAGCTCACATCTGCATCCATCTCTGCCACCACCACTCCTTTTTACCTTTGTCGGGTTACTTGCTTCTTGCTGTTATTTCCATCTACCTGCGGAATGAGGATCATAATGTAATAGGTGTTTTGAAGATTAACTCAATGGTACTTCAGGCCTTTTCAGACACACAAGTGAAAACATGGGTGTATAGAAAATCAAAGTATAATTATTATGAAAATGTACATTATTGTTTAGAGTAAAAGGGAATTGAAGGTAGGATGATGAGATAATGAGACCACTGGAAGTGAAGGATTTTGAGACATGGTATTAAATAAGTAGAAAGCAGAACACTTAATTGAGCTTAGGGAGGGTTTTCCTAGAAAAAAAAAAAAAAAAGTCTTCATTTCCTTCATGATTTATTTTTATTTTTCTTTTCAGTATGTGAAACAGATGTCACAGTATGATTGGAAATAGGAAGTTGTAAAATAGTGTTTTAAGGGCACAATCCTTTAACTGTGTTCACAGTCCCATTGGATAAAACATTGACAAGGTATGACCCAATTTAGGTCCCTCCTGTTTTATTATTATTGGTTACACTGTCAGATAAAGATCTACTGGAGACAACATCAGTTTATTAATATTGTGAGACTTTTTAAAGTACCATATATGGATTTTCAAGAGATGAAAGGTCCAAACTAACTCACAGTTGTCCCCATGGCACCTAACTTCTCCTGAGAAGCCAATGTTATTTCTGTAACGAATGTTCTTTTTTCAGAGGATATTTAGTACTTCATGAAATGGGGTATCTAGAACTTAATCCAGAAAAGGCTAAAGGGATGACATTTATAAATCTTGGGTTGCCACAAATCAGATTTAGCTGTGCCTGTACCGTTCATGATGTACAGTTAGACATACATGAGATGTAACACTAGGAAAGTGAAAGTTTTATTACCCTACACTTAATTCATTGAACTTTCTTTAATTTATCCGGTTGTTTGAATTACACATGAACATTGCAGTAGCAGCCCTCTAAGTTGGGATTTCTGTTTATAGCATGCTCTGTCTTCATTGGATGCCCTTCCATTAATTTCAATGAGGCGGTAATTAGGCCCTTAAAGCAGAATTAAGATATCTTTAATAACTGAATTTAGATTCAAAATTTACCCAGTATTCTTTCAAAAGATGCTTTTTTATAGTTCTTTGGGTCTGTGAAAGAGGACACATTTCTAAATGTTACTCTTTTACATTTCTTCCTGTTTTTCTTTTATGTATTTTGGGGCTAAGCAGTCCCATTGCCACAAATGTCAGATTTCACACATGCATGTATTTAGCCATAAGGCAGTTCTGAACTTTCAAAATTAAGCACACAGCCATTCCCTGTAGGATAGATTTCTTTTGCATTCTAAATAATTTCTGCCTTGATAGCCAGGGGAACTACTTAGCTCTATGGGATGCTTAACTAGACTCAGACTTCTCTGCTGAGAGAGATGGGCTTGAAGAATGGACTGTTCAATGGACATGGAACTGTCTGGATGGCTGTGTCCAGAGTTACAGTCAATGGCTCGGGTCCAAGTGGAAACCAGTAATGAGTGGTGTCCCTCTAGGGTCTCTACTGGGATCAATACTATTATCTTCAGTTACATGGACAGTGGGATTGATGTGCCCTTAGCAAATTTACTGACACCAAGCTGTGTGGTGTGTTTGACATACTGGAGGGAAGGGATGGGATCCAGAGGGACTTGTGGAGGCTGGAAAGGTGGGACCATGTGAACCTCACGAAGTTCAACAAGGCCAAGTGCAAGGTCTTCTTGGCCCTTATCCCCAGCACAAACACAGGCTGGGTCAGACTGGATGCAGCAGGCATGAGGAGAAAGACTTGGGGGTGTTTGTTGACAAGAAGCTCCCCATGACCCAGCTTCAGTGTGTGCTCGAAGACCAGAACCCCCCTGTGTGCTGGGCTGCATCCCCAGAGCATAAACAGCAGGTCAAGGGAGGGGATTCTCTCCCTCTACTCCACTCTGGGGAGATGACCCTGCAGTCCTGCATCCAGCTCTGGGACAGCAACACAAGAGGGATGTGGAGCTGTTGGAAGGAGTCCAGAGGAGGCCACTGAAATGCTGTGAGGGCTGAAACAGCTCTGCTCTGGAGACAGGCTGAGAGAGCTGGGCTGGTTCAGCCTGGAGAAGAGGAGGCTCCTTAAGGGGAGACCTTAGAGCAGCTTTCAGTGCCTAAAGGGGCTACAAGAAACCTGGAGAGGGGCTTTGGACAAGGGCCTGTAGGGACAGGCCAAGGGGAATGGTTTTAACCTGACAAAGGGGAGACTGAGATGAGCTGTCAGGCAGCTCTTCCCTGTGAGGGTGGTGAGGCCCTGGCACAGGCTGCTCAGAGAAGTTATGGCTGCCCCATCCCTGGCAGTGTTCACAGACAGGTTATGAAGTAGTGACAAAAGTGAGGTAGTGACAAAGGCCTGCAGGGACAGGACAAGGGGAATGGCTTTAACCTGACAGAGGGGAGATTGAAATGAGATCTTAGGGACAAGTTCTTCTCTGTGAGGATGGTGAGGCCCTGGCACAGGTTGCCCAGAGAAGCTGTGGCTGCCCCATCCCTGGCAGTGCTCAAGGCCATGTTGGATGGGGCTTGGAGCAACATGGTCTAGTGGAAGATGTCCTTGCCCATGGCAAGGGGCTGGACTGTATGTCTTTTCCAACCCAAACCACGCCACGATGCTAGTTTTAAAGGCAAAAAACAAACTCAGTAAATATTCAACAGCCTTAATGTTGAGTATACTTGCCAGTGCATGCCTTTGTGCAGCTCTCAGAATTGTAGCTGATGCTATTAGAAACATCAAGAGTGGCACTACAGATAAATATTTCTTCATCACCACCTCATCTGACATTCACTCACAAACACTAGTCAGCAGTTTTCGCTACATAATTTGTGCGATCTACACTACCTGTGGTCATCATCAGAAGCTAACTGTACATGCCGTGGTGTGTCTGACTGAAGCCCAGGGGTCATTGTGTCACCTCTGGATGGTGGAGATGACACGTCATAATTTTAGGGTGTCTATAGGGGATTGAATGACATCGCTGCATATTTCTTTCCACTGACTGTTTGGCTGGGTTTTTTTCAGGGTAGAAACTTTACTCCAAAATTACCTTTTTTACTGTGTGAGAATCAGACAGATAGCAATTTTGAGAATGTCTTGAGGGAGCAAGGTGATTTGAGTGATGAGACTCATAAGCCTTGTAATTACAGTAATTATGAGACCATACCTCTACAGGTAAGAACTCATAAGTAAAAACGTCAGCATGACCATTTAAGAAGCTCAATAATTCATTCCAGTGCATGTGGTTACAGTGCAATGCTTAGCATAAACGTCATGACTCTGTTGGCACTTGGTCTTACTTTTGAAACATGTATCTGTCCTGTAAGTATAGATCCTTTTGTCCTATAATGTTTGTATGTAGTCTTTTTAAGTCTATAGGATGTATAGCAGCTGGTTGTAGGTGATCAAAACTTACTACACATTTTAGACATCATTTGCCCTGCAGCTTTATAAAGAAGTAGCCTGAAACACTGGAATGTTCTGACTCAGATTTTACTCAGATAAATGCATGTTGCAAAAAGCATGTAGTTCATAAAGGGAAACTTTCCGTCCTATGTGTTCTTTACTATATCCCTGACCCGCTGCCTAATGGGATGGATGATTAAGAATAGTTTGGAACTATGATGGGACGCCACCTTCCGAGTAGTCCTGTGCCCTTTTTTCTTGATTTATTTACTCAGCACTTCAGTTCCAGGTATGCCTTCTGTCAGTGTCAACTAATAACATCACAAACCTTTTGAATGGTAAAGAGAAAAGCTTGTTTGAAAGAAAACCTCTCACTGAGTAGACATGCTGAGGCAGAGAAGGTAATGAAGACAGGGTCATTAGATGGGATATTGTTAATTTTCTTCAGAGTTTGTATCCATGAGCTATAACACTAAATGCCAGTCATAAAATGATGGTATCATATGGAAACTGCAGATGATCCTTTTGATCACAGCAGTATATAATATTTCTTGAAGGTGTGTGCAGGACAAGTCTGTAAAATTGGAGCTTGTCTAGTTTTGTATTTAGATTCATTTTGCTGAGTGGTACTCTTATTGGGGAATACCTGCATTATGCATCACTTACATTTATGATGCTAACAAACATATTTTATCACCCAGTGAATCTTCTACTTCAATGTTACAATTTTGGTTGGAATTTGGAGCGTTCTAATCATACAAAGTTACTATTCCATACTAAAATAACTTTTAATATCAACCACTTTCAGCAACAGCTGAAATTATCTATTTATTTAAAATGCTGTTGATGAGGAGTCAGGTATAACATCTGCAATCCAATTAAAATATGCTTTATAACAATGCAGGCTGATATGAGAGAAGTTCTGGCTTAGATATGGGGAGAAAACATCATGAGTACAGTCAAGGTTGTCTCCCATCTCCAGCCTTTGAGGCTTTCAAGACCCAACTGATCAAAGTGCTGAGTAACTGGGTCTGATCTCATAACTCACCCTGCTTTGGGCAGAAGGTAGGACTGAAAACCTCCTGAGGTCCTTTCCAGCCTGGGTTATTTTGGTTACCTAAAATGTTTGCTGACAGCTTGTATGTCAGCACTCAGAGCACTAGGTATGTATTATACTCCTCAACAGCTACCAGTGTATTTAGAAACCTTAAGACTTTTGCCACAGAGCTCAGTGTTACTGTACAGTTATTATTCAATTAAAACATAATTCCTTGTTAAAAGCTACAGTTTTAAATCAAACATGAAATCACGACATCTCTCTTTCCAAAACCCACTATATGAACGAAAAACAGCCTTACCACCTTTGCATTATCTCTGTGTTCATATCTATCCTGATCTTGTGTTAACAGGTTGCAATAGCTAGAGTAGCAAAGTAAAAATTTGCTTTCTGATATAAACACAGTTTTAAGCATTTTTTCCCTTTGCCCTTTTTAGATTCTGTGTAATAAAACAACTTCCCCTAAAATGTTACACCCTTCCAAATAAGTTTTTTTATGCTATTTTTGTAAAATGTATAAAATAAGATACTGAATTGCGTTATTTTGAAGACAAGCTGAAAATTCTTTTTGGTTTGGGTTTTTGGGTTGTTGGGTTGTGGGGTTTTTTTGGCTGAACTTTTCTCTGGAATCTTTGCTTCAATTTTGGTTGTGTTTGCCTCATTAAGAAGTGCCCTTTAGTATTTTATGAAGCCTGCTGAGGGATTAAAATATATATACAGGCTTATTTCTTTGGGTACTTTTATGTTTATTATTTCTTTGGTTTCATAAAATGGGGATTCATCCAGAACTTTAAGATACTCTCCCACTACTAAAGTGGCCCTCTGAAGAGCAACGCTGTATTAGCAATACTATCAGCATTTGTACATACTGCACACAGAAGAATATGTTAAAATATTATTAGACTTGCAAAGTTAAGTACTCAAAAGTCACAAAATACAGAATTAAGCTTTACTTTGTCTGCCTTCCAGATCAGTGTTCTGGTATAGTAATTAGTGACTGAATTGTATAGTACCTGTCCACCTTTTCAGAGCAGAGCATAGATTATGTTCTTTTAATGAGCAGCTATACATTTTTTATGCTTTTCCTCATTCTCTAGTTGTTGCAGGTTTTATTTACTGTACTGAATTTAAGCCCTGTTTGGAAGACTGAGTTAATAAATGCTTTTGGGGTGTCTTTTAAACATTCCACTTCATCAGAGGAATCTTCCCTGTTCTGTGTGAGATGGGCAGTACTTTCTATGACTGTACACCATTTTATAGAAGAGAACTGTGGTGCATAGAGGAAAAATGGAGATATCTGTCAATATCCTGGCTAGGACTTTTTTTTTATTTATTTTTTGTTTCAGAAAACTTATATATGCCAAAGACAGTCCGCCCTCATTTTGTTTGCAACCCTGAACAATCACAGTTTTCACAAATTAAGTTTGAAGAGTCTCCAGGAAGGAAAGCTAGAAAGAGGAGGGCACAGACAGTGGCCACCTATGATAAATTTGGTTTAATGACTTGCTTCATGTCACATATGAATCCCATGACAGAGCCAGAGTCTTGTCATGGGATTTACCAGAGTAGCATTCAATGGTTTTAACCATTACAGGATCCTTTCTATGTTAGCAGTATCCTGACTTAATAACAGCCAAATACCTCCTGCTTTCGAGGCCAAATGAGTTAGAAGTCCTACAGAAAACATTCTTCCAAGTGATGGTTCATGTACAAGCAGATTACCCTGGACACTGACATGGGGCAAGTACCTGTGAAAAACACTATACGACCACCTAACTCCAAAATATAAGCATGTTTGTTTACATGCCTAAGTTGGATGTGGACAATTGGCCTGGAAAACTTCAGCCAGAAGACTGGAGGAGTTATTACCAATTGAACACACTTGTGTCAGCAGGAAATGTGCATGTCAGTCACAGGAAGTTACTATCCATACCATACCACTTACGATAAACTTTTAGTAACATAAATATTGATGAAATAGGTGGTCTAATACTCAGGATTACCAGTTCACATGAAGTGAGTGCATTAGGCCTGGACTGGGAATAGATATAGAAGGGACAGAATACACCAGCAGAGTTTAGAGAGCAGAGGCTCAAAGGGATGCACACAGGCAAAGACCAGGGATGGGAGATGAGGAGTTTTGTAATCACCGGAAAGGGCTGGCTTGAAACCCTCTATATCGAAATGAAGATGAAGATGCTGGGTAATACAAGAGAGAACCATCCTGTGACTTTATTTGCTGTTCAAGCACCAGAGCTTTGTGATGAGACCAGAAGGGTGTTGCTATGACCTGAGCTGGGAGGGAGCAATCCTGCTGCCATTTTGGAAGCTGTTCTGTCATACCCAACCTCTGAAGCACTCACTGATTATCCCCTCATGACTCCTGTAACCCACAAACGCATGAAGGCTTTAGTAGCAGGGCCTAAAATCAGGAACCACTTTTCTGGTACTGCCATGGCTCTTGCATAAACCCACAAAAAAATTTTGGGGGATCAGGGGAGGTGATCCAGAGTGCCTCAGGAATGCTTCATCGCAAGAAAAAACCTTCCAACATATCAATAAGACATTTCTTTCAATGAAAAGGAGCAGAAGTTCTAACTCCTGCCTTTTCAAAAAATCTTACAGGAATTCATTTAACTTTTTTCTTCTTTCTCCAGGGGAAAAAAAAAAAAAAAAAGTATCTTTTTTCAAATCTCTCACACACCCTGTTTTAAAAATACAGCAGCACTAGCTCTGCTTTGGTTTCACTTCTTCCTCTTCAACTTCCAGAACTATTACACCCTGCTCAGCTAATTTTTTTCAGAGGGAATACAACTTAGATTGTACAACCAAGTGTTCTGCTGCTTTGACACTGGCTACAGCCATCCATGCTTGTATTATTCCCTCCCAGATTGCAACACATACATTTTTAGAATACTTGTGTGAAGCTATGCCAGTCTGATGAGCCATTTATCCTCCCCAGCTAAAAATACTGGTATGTAGACTTAACAGAGTAACAGTAACCATTTTCCCTCCCAAAAGAGAAAACATGAAGGACACACAAAATACTCTACAGAAATTATAGTGGCGGCACAGAATAGTTACAAATACAGGCATGCCACTATGTAATAGCTGCATAATCATATAATTAACACACTTCCTAGTACTAATCAGATCAATCAGTTTAATTCTGTTTATGAAAAAAAAAATTCCTTTCCTACGCTGATGTGTGTACTTATACTTTGGAGAAATACTTCTTACATCTTTGCTACATCTAACTGCTGGTATACAAAACAGACAGGATACACTTTTTTACTACCACAGGAAAGTAAATAATGTTAAGGTTGGGCAGGGTGGTGGTGAATGGTGATGAAGACCAATGATGACTGCTTGCCAGGCTGTGGAGAACAGGTTAGTTCTCACGGGACTTTTGTGAGCAGTCTCTGGACACTGTAAACTGTCAGTGCATTTTTATAACACAAACAAAATATTAAACTTGCTTCCTAGCTGAGTTCCCTATCCTTGTATTACCAAACTCAGCTCGTAGATGAGAAATTTAATCTTTTTCATCATCAGTCACAACACTTTCAATTTTGGGATACATTTAATATACTCTGACAGCACCACAGTATCCTTCAAAAAATGTACAGGCAAAAAAGACTGAGAGTGATTCTCAAGCATCAAGCCATTTATCTCTGTATTGCAGTGTAGCTCCTGCTACAGTTTGTGGAAGCTACATTAGCACACAGAGCTATGTGAAAACAGTCATTGTGCACTACTCTGAAATAACATTTTCCAGACTGCTCCAGGGGAGAACCATGTTCATTCCACCTTAGCTGAAGAACAGATCCTGCTGTGCTACCTTGTGTTGAATAGCATGGACTGGTTCTACCACAGGAGATTCACACTCTTGGCAATACAGTCCTTGTTCATACTGCATCATATTTTCCTCCTGCAAAGAGCAATTCTGCACCCCCTGAAGTCAACTGCAGAGGTCATCCGCATCAGACCTCTGACTAGCACGTTACCCTTCTGATCATGTGTAGACTGCAATGCTATTTTTTTAGCAGAGAGAAACTGTCTCAAGACCAATCCAGCATTTCTCAGTCATACCATGTATCTGAGCAACTGAGGTGCAGAAAGACCCTGAAATTGCTCTGCACTTGAATCAACATTTGTCCCCTAATTGCTGATCAGAGGAACCAAGTACTCCCACCGTGTAACCCTAAGCCACCAGTAGCAAAGCCAGGATCCAGAATAAAATCTTTTGACAGATGTCACCTACTGAAATGTTCTAAATGGTAAAAAAACTTACTTGCCAAGAGCTACACCTTAATAGTGTGCTCCTGCAAGACTTCCCTCTGCAGCCCCGTGTTCAGCTTTGAAGCTCCCAAGAGCTTCAGAAGAGGGATACAGAGCTGTTGGAGCAAGTCCAGAGGAGCTCACAGAGATGCTCTGCTCTGGAGAGAGGCTGAGAGAGCTGGGTTTGTTCAGCCTTGAGAAGAGAAGGCTCCAGGAGACATTAGAGCAGCTTCCAGTGCCTAAAGGGGCTACAAGAAACCTGGAGAGGGGCTTTTGACATGTGCCTGTAGGGACAGGACAAAGGGGAATGGCTTTAATGTGACAGAGGGGAGACTGAGATGAGCTCTTAGGCAGAAGTTCTTCCCTGTGAGGGTGGTGAGGTGCTGGCACAGGCTGCTCAGAGAAGTTGTGGCTGCTTCATCCCTGGCAGTGTTCACAGACAGGTTATGAAGTAGTGACAAAAAGGTTGACCTTACTTACCTTATCTAAGGTCTGCCATACAGAGGATTTTGCAGTCACTACCTGGCATCCTTTACTCTGTGGTTCAGACCTGTATCATTAGTAGGATATAAATACAGATTTTAGAGAGCCACTAAAATGTTAAATCCACACTTCAGGTGTTTATGTCTTCCTATTGTATAAGCGATGAATCAAGCCACATGCTAAATGGGCATTTGGTGCATTATTTAAGTAATTTCCTAATACACAGTAAGCAAAAATATTTTGTAAATTGTGCCACAACAAGTAAAGATTTACAGTTTTGTCCACAGAGGTATCTCAAATACTCTGCCATGATTCATGACTAGAAGATTGTTAGCCACTGTACTGATAAATAAACTGCTGCCCAAATCTAAAGTAATTTAAGAGATAATAACTATACATTATCGGCTCTTTTTTCAGCATATTCTTTCCAGGCTAAGAAATTTCTTTAACAGTTAGACAACACAATGCAATTTTGTTTTCAGAGTAAAACGTGTATGTTGAACATTATAACTTAATCTGTTAGCAACCATTTATCAGACCTCATTAATCTCAGTGTTACCACCTTCATTTTCAAACCTAAGCATTATACATGTTTTAGCTAAACATAAAAATAGCACACCCTCTACGTATCATACCTTCATTAGCACTGCTGCTAAACATGTAAAAACATGATAGATGTTATAAAACAGCCGCAGATTCCAACTTCAGGCAAGGTATGCTTGGGTTAAAACTGGCATCAACGCCAATATAAAATCACTCTTGCACAAAACATCATAGAGATAGTTATCAGCTGCAATGAAAAACAAAAAGTTATTATGAAAACTTCAGAAAAACATTAATTTCTTCTGCATGGGCCATGAAACGGTGTATTTTTCCAATTGTTTACTCTTCTCCATTAGTAGTAGTATTAGTATTAGTTAGTATTAGTATTAGTATTAGTATTTCTGTTTGTATTACAGTAAGATTTTTTAGAAAACTGCTCCTGTACTAATGAGCTCTCTTGGAGTTTTGTCACCAGTTTCAGTGAAAGCAGTTGTAGGGTCCTGCCAAGTTGTTTTATGTGTATGGACTTTGATTACTACTCTTCTGCCCGAATACCATACCACCCTCTTTGTGAGTGATAAATATTGCATGTGGATTAAAATATGCACAAGATGCACTTACAGTTACAAGGCAGTTACAGTTACTTTTGTCTAAAATATGGAACAGATTATAGCTCAGATAAGGTGTAGAAAAACCCTTTAGCTCATTTCAGAAGTTTGGGACGCTGCGTAGTTATCACTAGGTAACATGCAAGAAATTGATCTACAATACTGAGGTCTCCTGTAAAACATCAGTCAAGTATTTACAATGTAGTCAGCTCTGTAGTAAACTCTGATGTTTTCCTCTGCTGCGACTGAGGTAGGATTCTAGGATATAGCCTTCACTGAACATTCAGTAGCTGCATTCTAAAAAGATTAAACCATTTTATTCCCATTAGTTTCATTTCATCTGTGCATTAAATAGTTACATAAGCTAACAGTGAACACAGTGAACTGTGACTGGTGCACAAACTCTGTTTATTACAGCTGTATCTACCGTCCCACCATTAATTTTGTTTTGTGCAGAACAATGTGACACAAGATTTATCTTTACTCTCATGCAATACATTCTCTCCTCCTGCTGTACTGTTAAATATGTGTAAAACAAGCCCTGCAAGACATGGCAATACACATATATAACTGGGTGTTTGTTGCAAGAAGGGTTAAAAAGTTATTGCATGAGAATGCCACATTAAGTACAAAAATATTCCCATCATTCCAGATATTATTTCAACATTTAAGCAGTGTTTTTAACAGAAATGCTAAATAAATTTAAAAAGGTGTGCACTTAAATGCTAACTATTGACAAAAACAAAAAAATCATGATACTGTGTTTTGGTCAACCCTGTGAGAATCCACTCTCAGCTGGAGCTGATGACCAGCTTCTGTTAACGCTGTTATAAATGGAGTTATTTTATAAACACAGTTTATTAGAGTAACCTTAGTCTGCAACATGAGTATACAAACTAAGAGCACAGAAGATAAACTATCACAATGAGGTTACCTTTCATTCCCCACACTTCTGTTTTTCCTGTTTACATGAAGCTGGACTAAATATACCAAAATTTGTCATGGGATCTGTGCGACTGATGACAAGAAAATTTGAATGTTGGCTGGCTCAGTGTCCTCTGCACAGACACAAGGTACGCCACCTCGTGCGTAAGAACAGATTTTGCTCTTCTCTTTATGTGCCCTGCAAACAAAATGGTGGCAAGTAGGTAGAGTAAGAACACAGGCATGCGTTCATTTGCCTTTTTCAGAGTTTTCATAGGCAGCCTCAAATACGCCTCAGCAAATTTAAAAGAATGAGTGGGTTATATTAGCAATCGCTGATATTACATACAATATAAGCATGCATGGAAACACAAAATTGTTAATTTTCAGTTACCAAAATACTTCTATATGTACAGATTAGAGAAGGAACCCCCTTATAGGTCTCAGAAGGAAACTTCTGACAATGATGAATGTGCATCTTGAAACCTCATTCAGAAACAGCTTTGATAAACAGCTCAATCAAATAATTTGTATTTCTCCAAGAAGATTTAAGAAGTCAAACACACAAAAGTCACTAATTATCTGCAATACTAAAGCATTATTTCTTCATGGCAGACCCACTAGAGTCAACTGAGGCAACAGACTGAGGTCAGCCCAGGGCCCAATCTATCAAGTGTTGTGCGCCAAGAGCACCACTGGTTCCAGAAGTCAAAAGGTCTGAAAGTACCGGCTCTGCCAGAGGGCCATGAACAACTCACGGGGCTGGTGTTTAAACAGAACAGGACTCCCATAAAACCAAATACATCTGAAGAATCACAGGGAATAATCCCTTAGCTGCAGTGCAGATGGGTATGTACTTCCAATGGGAAGGTACATATTAATACCCTGAAGCCAAGTATCTTGAATTCCTCATCGGTTCTGTGACTTGAGGGTGGCTACCCACATGATGTTATTTCAAAATAAGCCTTCAAATAGATCATAGAATCCCAGACTGGTTTGGGTTGGAAGGGGCCTTAAAGATCATACAGTTCCAACTCCCTGCCACGGGCAGGGACACCTTCCACTAGACCAGGTTGCTCCAAGGCCCGTCCAACCTGGCCTTGAGCACTGACAGGGATGGGGCAGCCACAGCTTCTCTGGGCAACCTGTGCCAGGGCCTCAGCACTCTCACAGGGAAGAGCTTCTACCTAAGAGCTCACCTCAGTCTCCCCTCTGTCAGGTTAAAGCCATTCCCCTTGGCCTGTCCCTACAGGCCCTTGTCCAAAGCCCATCTCCAACTTTCCTGTAGCCCCTTCAGACACTGGCAGCTGCTCTAAGGTCTCCCCTTGAGGAGCCTTCTCTTCTCCAGGCTGAACCAGCCCAGCTCTCTCAGCCTGTCTCCAGAGCAGAGCTGCTCCAACCCTCACAGCATCTCCGTGGCCTCCTCTGGACTCCCTCCAACAGCTCCATGTCCCTCTTGTGTTGTTGCCCCAGAGATGGACACAGGAATGCAGGGGTGGTCTCCCCAGAGTGCAACAGAAGAGGAGAATCTTCTCCCTCCACCTGCTGCTCATGCTCTGGGGATGCAGCCCAGCACACGGGGAGGTTCTGGGCTCAAGCACACTCTGAAGACGGGGAGCTTCTCAGGGCGCTTCTGTCACCCCCAAGTTCTCCTCAGGGTTACTACATTCAGTTTTCTCTAGCCTGTGTTTATCCCGGACACTGCCCCGACCCAAGGGCAGGACCTTGCTCTTGGCCTTGTTGAGCTCCATGAGGTTCACAGGGTCCCACCTCTCCAGGGATCCACATCCCTCTGGATCCCATCCCTTCCCTCCAGCGTGTCAACCACACCACACAGCTTGGTGTTGTAAAGCTTCTTTGAAATAAAACTTTTGGAATAAAAATCATATAATTGCAACCTGTAATTTATATGTGATTTTAAAGTGTGATAAAAAATTCCAATGAAATATCCAATTAACAATATGTCTTCAACACCCCCAGCACCTAGCCCTACCTGCCTTCTGTGCTTGCATGTCCTATTTTGGCCCTTCACTAAGGCATCTGATACCAACATCTGCAAATTAATTTTTTATTTAACTTTGAAGTAATTGAATCCAAATGTGTACAGTGCTCAGAGTTTTCACATAGGATAATACCTTTCACCTAAAGACCAGGCAATTAATGTTGGAGAAAAATGCAATTAACAAGGTAAAAGCATCACAAAAAATACAAAGGTGTGCATATTTCAGATGTGTAAAGCCATACACTCTTTCATTATTTTCCTTAGTCAGTCAGCAGGTTTTGGAGTTTTTAAAAACTAGGCACAGTATAATTGCCATTATAGTCTATTATGGCTAGAAATAAGGACTGGTGAAAGTGACTTGGCTGTCTGGAAACTTATCCTGAAATACCGCTGTTTATATATAACCTATGCAGAATCATATGATGGGCAAAGTATTACAGGAACTTCAACACCGTTTCCCCAGAACACAAGTGCACTAACTAGAAAGACCAGGGAAAAAAAAAAGAGAAAAAAGAGAAAAAAGAAAATAGGTCAGCATGATCACCTTGGGCATTAATACAGTATTTTCCAGAAACTCTGTAAGAGGGTGGTATGATTTCTCTTAAAGAGCAGTGAGAGCATCTCAGCTTTTTATTCAGCCAGCTCCAGACATTCCAAAACACATCAGCAATCTTTCAGTTATATAATCATAATTTTTATATTTAAAACCAAACCAAACAAAACCCCCAGCTATTCATCTTTCCACGAGCTCTAATCAAATTAACTTTAGAGGAACTTAAAATGTATCTCTTTGATCACCCCGAAATACAGAGGCTTTGTATAGATCTGAGCAGTCAGAGACATGTATTCCTTGTCTACAAAATGGGTAAACTGTTCTTGGCTAGTTTAAGACAAATATCCCTCAATCAATCTGTAACATATGTTCTCAAGATTTCTTTTACAGTTAATACAGAACACATAATACCTGTTTCATTCAAAAAGTTGATCAGGATGAATCACCTGTTGTCTATGGCATAGCATGTAGAGCCAATCATTTTGTTTGGCCCCTGGAGAATTGGTTGTCCTCAGCCAGCCCTCACAATACTCTTCCTCACACCTTTTTCTCCAACACACAAACACCCACAGGCACGTTCTTTTTAATATTCACCTTCTCCTCCTAGTTCCTTTTCCCTTATTGGGGATGCTGGGGAGGACTGAACCACTGCTGCATCTTTATAGCACCAGATCACTAAGGAGATATGCTCAGTTTAGGTAGCATGTTTGAGGCACCGTGAGCAGCAGGAATACCTCACAGCCAGTAGTGCCATTCCTCCCTTTCACGACCATATCCTTCTAAAGCCAGTGGGACTGCTCTTGGCGGAAGGTAAACTGTGTACTTTGAGCACCTCTTCAGCACAAGCCACACTTTGCAAGCCAAAGCTTTCCAGCTGTTAGGTTTTTATGATACAAACACTGGTGCAGGTTTGCTTGTGTGCTTTGTGCTCACCAACAGTCCAGCACTGTAAAACACAAAGAAACTGAGAGAAGAGGAAGAGCCAGGGGAGTAGTTTCAAGTGTTGCTACTTTCCTGCGCTCCTTCCTCCCTTTAGCTGTGACCCTTAGGTACACCAGGTTATGGCTCCACTGAAGTATTTTCAGAGGCTAGGGCTGCAGAGGGCTGTGCATGTGGTAATGTGCATTTTCAGCCCTGCAAAGAGTTAATTCTCCTCACACAAAGCCTGCAGAGGACACAGAGGGCACAAAGCCAACAGAGAAACCACCCTCCAGAAACCTCCAAATGCTGAACTGCTATGCAGAAGCAACTTCAAGCAAACTTGGTGTGATGCAAGCAGAAGGCACTGACTGAAGTCTTGGTCCTGCCTGACAATAAAAATGCAGGCATACCCACTACACACCACACATGTGTTCACACAGCCAGTGATCCCCACCTCTGCTCAGCACAGGGATGGAAGGATGGACATTGTTGGCACCTCTTTGTCTGAAGGAAGATGCAGATGCCTCCACATCAACCTCACCCCTGACTCTGCTGGGCTGCCTTTTTCCAAGGCAGGATGACCATGGTGCACTGTCACTTTTCCCACATGTTAAGGGAAAATAAATAAATAAAGAGAAAAATAAATAAATAAATAGTATATAAAACATAAAACCAAACAAACGCAACAAAAAAAAAAATCAAACTGGTGAAACTCTCTATCTCCCCTCCCTCCTACCAGGCTGTTGTCCTACCGTGAGGTACACCCTCACCTCAGGGGACACAGCCCCACCATAGGCACTGAAGGGATGAGGGGAATAAGGGGGATGAGGGGGTCCCACCATTCCCGCCGGCGGGAAGAGGAGGAGCGCGCTGCTGACAAACTTGGTGCGGCAGAGCCGGGCCTGTGTCAGCACAACGGCCCGCTGCGGGAGCAGAAGCAGGAGGAGGAGAGGAGAAGTAAG